AGTGGGAGAGGGAGAAGCAGACTTCTGGCGGAGCAGGGAGCCCGATGCGGGGCTCGATCCCAGGACCCTGGGATCATGACCTGAGCCGAAGGCAGACGCTTAACGACTGAGCTGAGCCACCCAGGTGCCCCGCAAAATAATTTTTTTAAAGATTTTATTTATTTGATAGTGTGCACAAGCAGGGGTAGCAGAAGAGGGAGAAGCAGGCTCCCCACTCAGCAGGGAGCCGGATGTGGGGCTCGATCCCAGGACATTGGGATCATGACCTGAGCCGAAGGCAGTTGCTTAACCAACTGAGACACCCAGGTGCCCAGCAAAATAATTATTTAAATAAAGATTAATAAGAAGAGAGGCATTGTTTCACATTTTTACAAATGTCTTTGATATCTGCTTTACTAGAAAATGGCTAGATCCTGATATTTGCTTCTTTGTTCAGTCTGTTATATCACATGCCATATAGCTTCTGGAAAACTGTATGCTCATGAGAGAATGAGAATGAAAAAGGCAAATAATGTCTTAGTATTATTCTGCAAATAGTTTAGGCTTTGTGGACACCCTGCAAGCATCTTGAGGTCCCTTAGGGGTTGCCTAATCCTACGTTGAGAACCACTTCCTTAGGTTTTATGTTTTATTTATTTAAGTAATCTGTATACCCGATATGGGGCTCGAACTCATGACCCCAAGATCAAGAGTCACATGCCCTCCCAACTGAGCCAGCCAGGCGCCCTGAGAACCATTTCCTTAGGGACACCTTTACCACATTGCATTATGTCCTTCAATCTCCCACCCCTCCCCCACCCCAGAGGCCTTTAACATTTTTGGAAACATGAATGTAGAAATTAATAGAAGGAAATAATCACCTATATTCCTGCCACATAAAATCAAACACAATGTACTCTTTATGACCATCGATGGGAGATATTTTAGTTTATGGATATTAAATTCAGTAACTCACTCTGTTTTCATATTTGCATTGGTGCTTGGAAATTTACAGCCAAATCTGTGCCTGCCCTTAAGAAATATATGGGACTCTTATTTTTTCTAAGGGAAAATCCTCTAACTTTTAGCAGGTGACAGAATTTTAACTCAAATGAGTCAGAAAAGAAAAGAAACTTACTCTCGTAACAGGGGCACAGATGATTTCAGGTATGACTGGACCAGGTGGCCTTTAGGGCTTTATTTCAGTCTTTGAGTTCTGATTATCTGTGTGGCTTTACCTGTGGCTTGATTTAAAGGCTCCTACAGTGTTGCCAGGACTCTGACTCCCATTTATTGGTTCAGCTACTATTGGTTGCCTATAGATTTGCTTTCTCTGTGTGGCAGGAAAGATGGCTTCCAGGAGCCCTACATTCATATTTTCTTCCTTCTAGAAACCATCACAGGTAGAACTGTTTCTCTCCCAGCATCAGCATTTGATTCCAGGGAGAACCTTGACTGGCTCAATTTTAGTTACATGTGCACCCCTTGGTACTATTACAGATATTCCACTAGAGCTACATTGACTCAGGGAAGATTTCTCAGGCAAAAGGTGACTTTATCAGAAGGGGAACTGGAAAGTGTTTTGAGCAGATTTAAAAAAAATAATAGTTATACGGACTGTTATCTCACACTGTATACAAAAATTAACTCAAAAGGAAAAAACTAGGGCCTCCTGGGTGGCTCAGTCGGTTAAGCGTCTGCCTTTGGCTCAGGTCATGATCCCGGAGTCCCAGAGTCTCAGGATCAAGCCCCACCATCAGGCTCCCTGCTGAGCAGGGAGTCTGCTTTTCCCTCGGGCCCTTACCCATCTCATACTTGCTCGCTCTCTCACACTCATTCTCAAATAAATAAATAAAATCTTAAAAAAAAAAAAAGGAAAAAACTAAATGTAAGAGATAAAGCTATTAAACTGTAAGAAGGAAACAGGGATAACTCTTCATGACATTGTATTTGGTGTTGGTTTCTTAAATATGGTACCAGAAGTACAAGCAGCAAAAGGGAAAAAAATGGATAAATTAGACTTCATCAAATTTAAAAACTTTAGTGCATCTTGATATTATCAAGGGAGTGAAACACAACCCACAGAGAGAAAATACTTGCAAATAGTATATCTGATAAGGATCTAGTATTCAGAATAAAGAACAACAAAAGGAAAAACTATCCAATTTACAAATGGGCAAAGGATTTATTTATTTATTTATTTTTTATTCATTCGAGACACAGAGATAGAGAGCATGAGCAGGGGGAGAAGCAGAGGGAGGGGGAGAAGCAGACTCCCTGCTGAGCGTCGGGAGCCTGATGTGGGGCTCGATCCCAGGACCCTGGGATCATGACCTGAGCTGAAGGCATTCGCTTAACCATCTGAGCCACCCAGGCGCCCCTGGGCAAGGGATTTAAATAGACTTCTTGAAAGAAGATATACAAATGACCAACAACCACAGGAGAAGATGCTCAGCATCATTAGTCATTAGGGAAATGCAAATTAAAACCACAATGAGATACTACTTTGCAGCCACTAGGATGGCCATAATAAAGAAACAGAAAGTAACAAGTGTTTGTGAGGATGCAGAGAAATTGGAAACTCTATGTACTACTGATGGGAATGAATGTAAAATGGTGTAGCCACTGTGGGAAATAGTTGATTGGTTTATCAAAAAGTTAAGCATAGAATTATCATATGACCCAGCAATTCCCCCTTGTAGGTATATAACCCCCCCAAGTTGAAAACAGGTATTCAAATAAAAACTTACGCATGAATGTTCATTTCAGCTCTATTCACAATAGCCAGAAGGTGGAAACAACCCAAATTTCCATCAACAAATGAATAGATAAACAGATATATCTGTACAATGGGATATTATTTATATTTTTATTTTTTTATGTATTTTTTTTTTTAAAGATTTTATTTGTCAGAGAGAGTACAAGCAGGGGGAAGCGGCACGCAGAGAGAGAAGCAGACTCCCCGCTCTGTAAGGAGCCCAATATGGGACTTAATCCCAGGACCCTGGGATCATGAACTTAGCCCAAGGCAGACATTTAACCAACTGAGCCACCCAGGTGTCCCCCAATGGAATGTTATTTAGCTATAAAAAGGAATGAAATACTGATCCATGCTACAGCATGGCTGAACCTTGAGAACATGCTAAGTGAAAGAAGCCAGACACAAAGGGCCCCATATTGTGTGATTTCATTGATAAGAGATATTCAGAATAGGCACATCCGTTGAGACAAAGTGGATGAGTGGTTGCCAGGGGCTGGTTGCAGCATAGAATGGGGATGGGGTTTCCATTTGGGCTGATGAAAAAATTCTGCAGCTAGACAGGGGTAATGGGTCCAGACATTGAGGATGTACTTAATGCCACTGAATTGTACATTTTGAAATGATTACAATGGTAAATTTTGTTATGTAGATACACAATATGCAATTAAAAAAATGTCTTGGCAAATCCATCATCCCATTCCAAAGTCACAATAGTTAACAGTCTACTTTGGGCATGTAATGAGTGATTGATACTTGAGTAGCCACTAACTTCAATTGACCCAAGCTTTGGAGAACAGAGCCCATCGGGTTATCTGTATTTTGGGTGGTATACTGGGTATTATTACTCCTCCTTAGAGTGTCCCAGTTAATTGCAAATCTTTAATAAGAGTTTTTGCTGCAAGCAGGTTAGTTGCATAATACTTTTGTTTTTCTAGGTATTGTGATTTTATTTAGGGTGAAATTCATGGCATCAACTGCTTATGTAGTTCTTTTGAATAAGAAAGACCGTATCAATGAAAGTAATTCATTTTCAGATGCTATTTACTATAACTTGTGTCAGTCACTCATTTTTGTCTAGGGCTTTGTTCTACTTGATGTTTCTCTGACTCTAGGATAAATAATTTCTCTATTTGTTCTTAGTGTCTTTCTGAGAATTTCACACTCTGGGGTGCCAGTAAGACAAGTCTGTATCTCTCAGCTCAAAAAGTGGAATTTGGAGCTGACTCAGTGCTGTTGGATGGTCCACATTCACTTATGCCCTTGACATTTTAACTTTGGTGAGGTTTCACTGTGTTGTCTGAAAACAGGGACAATGGAAGGAGGATTGTGTGTGGACGGTGTTTAATTTGTAATAGTTGAGAGCAGCTCAGAAGTGATGGGTCTCATGATTAAAATCATTCTGATAATTGATCATTTTATGTTTCTCTCTGCAGCGGTGCCTGTGGTGAGGTGAAGCTAGCTTTTGAGAGGAAAACATGTAAGAAAGTAGCCATAAAAATCATCAGCAAAAGGAAGTTCGCTATTGGCTCTGAGACAGAGGCAGTAAGTACCTGTTTATGGATGCTCAGCTGTTTTTAACACTTCCTAATGTCCCCAGATAATTTGAGTGGTGATTTTCAGTGTCAGGAAGAATTCACTGTTCACATATGTGAATTTGTATTAAACAACATTGGAAAATTTTGAGTATTGGGGCTCCTGGGTGGCTCAGTCAGTTAAGCATCTGACTCTTGATTTCGGCTCAGGTCATGGTCTCAGGGTCGTGAGATCAAGCCCTGTGTTTGGTCTGCACTGCTCATGGACTTGCTTAAGAGTCTCTCTCTCAAGACATGTATCATATGATCTCACTGATATGAGGAATTCTTAATCCCAGGAAACAAACTGAGGGTTGCTGGAGTGGGGGGTGGGGTGGGAGGGATGGGGTGACTGGGTGATAGACACTGGGGAGGGTATGTGCTCTGGTAAGCGCTGTGAATTGTGCAAGACTGTTGAATCTCAGATCTGTACCTCTGAAACAAATAATGCAATATATGTTAAGAAAAAAAAAAAAGAAGAAGAAGGTAGCGGGAGGGGAAGAATGAAGCGGGGGAAATCGGAGGGGTAGACGAACCATGAGAGACGATGGACTCTGAAAAACAAAGTGAGGGTTCTAGAGGGAAGGGGGTGGGAGGATGGGTTAGCCTGGTGGTGGGTATTGAGGAGGGCACGTTCTGCATGGAGCACTGGGTGTTATGCACAAACAATGAATCATGGAACACTTCATCTAAAACTAATGATGTAATGTATGGGGATTAACATAAGAATAAAAAAAAAAGAGTCTCTCTCTCCCTCTGTGCTGCCCACCCCATCTCTCCCCCCCACCCCCCACCCCCCGTTTTTTGAGTATATTCAACTAACCTAGAATTTACTTATCAATAGCTTGGTTCCAACGTAATAATACACCCAGCAGGAAGTGTTTTCTCGCCCCCCCCCAAGTTGTTACTAGTTTTTACAGTACGTGAAAGGGAATTGGGGGGAAAAAAACCCAGCCATATCCCCACCACTGTAATTCCACAGCTGTTTCTAGTTTTCTTTTTCCTTGTGGTCCTTGTTCATACAGATTTACATTTTTAGATGGTTGAAATCATATTGTATATACAATTTTGTATTCTGCTTTTCCCCATAAGCATTAATGCATAAACTTTCCCCTAATAGATGTTTTGTGATGATCGAGCTTCTCTTTCATGAACTTTATTATAATTTATTCACCCATTGCTCTCTTTGATCATTTGGAATAATTTCTAGTTCTTTGCCCCTCCCGATAACGAAACAGTGAATATCTTAGCATCTATAGATATTTAAAAATCTTAAATTATTTAATAGTCTCTGTATAGTAGCTATTCATTTTATCACATTTTCTCTAATACACATTTACTGCATTGGTGAAATGTATTGGTCTTTCAACACAGAACCCTACAAAGTAATGTAAAGTGAGATCTCTGATCACCTTTTCCTTTGTGGCCATCCTGTTTCTGGCCATTATACTTTAACATTCTTTAAAGAGCTATTCCCCACCCCCCACCACGCCCCAAGGACAATGCCATTCTCACATGGCAAGAGCAATTTCCTTTCTGTGTTCACTTTGTGGTGGATCCTTTTCCCCGTGATTCTGGATTTGTTTCCGGTTTTGAGGGGGAAGAAAATACCTACCAGATTCTTAATGACTTGGAGCAAATTTGTACTTCTTAATTTCATCTTTCAAATCAGATTGGACTCTTTAAGACCTCTCTATCATCAGAGTACAGCCTGACTTGGTAATGAGTTTAACAGCTTACAGGAAGAGGCAGGCTTTTAAAATTAAACATCTGGGTTTCTTAGCTGAAGTCCATTTTACATAAATATGTAATTCTATATCCTCTTCGCTTTGGAGGGTGTAGCCCGCGAGGCTGAGTAAGTCGATTCATCCTTTTGGAATTGCAGCAGAGAGCAGTTCCAGTCCCCTGATGCTTCCTCTCTTTGGTGTCTCAGTAAATATGTCAGCCTGCAGCAAATTGGTACCTGTGTCTGCTCCATTATTAGAAATTTGGCTTGACATTTTCCTTTTACAATTTAATTGAATACCTCTTGTCTGTGGTTTGTTTATTGTATCATTTTTATGAGTATAAACAATTCCACAGCCAGAGGGACAGAGCTTACAACCAATATTACATTGTATGTTAACTAACTGGAATTCCAATAAAAACTTGAAAAAAAAAAAAAAAAAGGGAGACAGAGCTTACCAGGTAAGTGTGAGAACAGTGGAAGCACACTTGTTTCTGGCTGTGAGAACTGGAACAAGTGGCTTCCTTTCTCTGTGCCTCAGTTACCCCATCTGTGAAATGGGGATAATTATAGAACCCAGTTCACTTCAGGATTATGAGACTTCTGTGAGATGACTCTTTTACATAAAGAGGTTGGCATAGGGCCTGGTCGTTTACTGAATGCTTACTATTTGCCAAGCACTTTGCAGGGTGATTTTTAGGTAACTGATTTAATTCTTTGACCTCTAAGCCTTGAATTGTCTGTATGGGTAGGGCTGGGTATGTGGAACTCAACGCAGCTTTTACTCAACTAAGTTGTAACTAAGCATTTTCTAAATATTGACTGTTATTAACAGACTTTAATGTTTTTTTTATTTATCAAAGGATCCAGCTCCCAAGGTTGAAACAGAAATAGAAATTTTGAAAAAACTAAATCATGTAAGTATTGCTATAAAATATGACCGTACTTAAATCCATTTCTCTCAAAATATGGGGGCAGTACAAAGTATTTCAGTTTAATAAAGCTAGTATTAACTTGGGTTCCTTAATTGTGTGTGTGTGTTTTGTGTATGTTTATGTGTGGGTACATATGTGTGGGTGTATGTATTTAGCTGGAAAGAGCTTTACCCTGAAATTCTGAGAGGACAATACTGTATAAAGATTTCATGATTAAATAACTGTGATATTTCGTGAGTTTTTGACCAAAACACGTAAATTTCCTAAGTATTTTATCAACTGGTTATGTTTGGGAAGACAATGCTAATTTGGTAAATTTGGTTAAGTTATACCTGAAGTTTCAGTACCTCTGAATACCTTTTGATGGTGCTGATTTCCATTTATCTCAGTGGGTATAAATAGTTCCTATCTTTTGTCCAATGATGACTTTTTCTCACTGGAAAGTGAGTCTGTCTTTTAAGAGGTGAGAAGAGAAGTTAGAGTTGTGGACTGATCCCATCTTCCTTTTCATTGTTTTTTCTGTTTCTTCATTAAGTCATGAACCCCCTTGAAGTCATGAGCTAGGTTGGCACTGGAATTGAAACTTGCAGTTAGACCTCCAGTCTGTCCAGCTAAGGATGATCTTATTCTGGTTCTTTTTTTTTTTTTTGAGAGGGGGTAGGGGCAGAGGGGAGAGGGTAAGTGAGAATCTTAAGCAGGCTCCATGCCCAGTGAGGAGCCTGATGCTGGCATTTGATCCATAGCCCTGAGATCATGACCTGAGCCAAAATCAAGAGTGGGATGCTTAACCAGTTGAGCCATCCAGGCGCCTGGATCTTATTCTGGTTCTTAACCTCCAAGCAATGAAAAGATTTTCTTCTGCCTTCTCTCACCTCCTCAAATGCTCCAAACAACTAATAGAAATTAAGAGCAGGATCACCGCCATTGACACAATAGTTAGAACCCAGTGGTTGGGTCTTGAACGCAGGAGAATCTGAGTAACCAGCATCCTGGCTTGGCATTCTTCTAATTCCCTTGCAACTTCTTCTTCTTCCCTGAATTAGCCTTTTTTTCCCCCAAGCGATCTGGAATCTCTTATTAAAGAGAGGAGCCCTCTAATTTTCTGGGGTGGGGTTGCTTGTTTCAAACATACTTGTAAGATAAACACTCCAAATCCTCAGGGAATTTTTCCTGATGTCAGAGGATCCCCAAACATAACATTTACATAAATCCAATGTCCACTGCAGTCGAGAGGAATTTAGAACCCTCAAAAAAGATCTCTGGCGATTTAGAAAGAAATTGCAAGATTTCTGGGCAATTTACAAGGGCATGTGGAAAGCTCTTGGAAATTAAATATGGGCTTATGAGTGCATTTGGGGGATAATGAGTAGAGCCTGATAGCCCAGCAGAGCCTGGCACTTGGAGCCAGGCATTGATCCAATCAGTCGTCAGACACTTACTGTGCCAGCCTGTCTTCTAAGGCCCAGGCGGTGGTGAGCACAGATGGATTTGGCCGTCCCTCCCCTCCTATGGTTTCAGCCTAGTGGGGAGACAGACATGGGTTCCCAATCCCATCTCTCTTACCTCCTGGCTCTGAGAAGGTCATTTCACTTTTCAGAGCCTTTGTTTGCTCATCTCTGCAGTGGAAGCAATAAGGATACATACCTTAAAGGTCGGTATAGGAATTTGATGAGATGTGCTCACCAAGCTCTCTGTGTGGAGAACACGCTTGGGGAATGACAGTCATCTGTCATTCCCTAAACTGTTCCCTGTATGGTCTAAGTGGAGGGTGTAGGGTAGTAGCTTCTGGTTCACGAGAGACACCTTCAGCTACGATGCTGCAGCCAATGAATGACCCTAGAGGTGGTGGCGCCTACAGGCTTTTGACTGCTGGGCACCTCCTCGTGTTGCACCAGCTCCCAGACCCATCTGTTCCCAGGTGGGCCCGGCCCTGCCGGATGAAGCCAGGCAGAACCAAACGGCTCTCATTTGTTCCTCTGATCTCCTGTTCCTTTTCCATGTGTGTCTTTTCTTCTGCTTCTCCTTTGATCACATGCGTAGAATCTAGAGAGTCAAATCTTGCTCAAAGGTTTATACACGGACTGTAACTCTGCAGCCCCCTAATCCTCCCCCACAAACATTTTAGAACTCTTTCATCTGTTTTTTTTTTAAACCAGTGTATCTCCATGTTTCTACATAATATGCATAAACTGCTGTCTCCTGGTTTATCACTTTTAGATAGCCTGTTGCCTTCCTGTTACAGTGTATGAGAATTTTAGTTCTCTTTTCCTCTTAATATTTAACACTACTATACATATCCAGTGTTTTCATTATTGTGACAATAACAAATGGTCACACAGAGCAAGTACATACTATGATCATAGGTAAGGAGTGGTGGAGCTGGTTTGCTCTCAGCCTTACTCCCATGATTATGTATGCCATGACCAAAATGGGGCTGGCAGGGTTGCCTGGGTGGCTCAGTCGGTTAAGCGTCTGCCTTTGGCTCAGGTCATGATCCCAGGGTTCTGGGATTGAGCCCTACATCGGGCTTCCTGCTCAGCGAGGAGACTGCTCTCCCTTTCCCTCTGCCTGCCACTCCCCCTGGTCGTGCTCTCTCTCTCTCTGTCAAATAAATAAATAAAATCTTTAAAAACAAAACAAAACAAAATGGGGCTGGCAGAGTCTACCCTCAGTGGGTGGTGTTTCTATTACTGCTGTTGATTGTATTAATCGGCAGCATATGAATGTCTCCTGTTTGCTGGCTTCTCTGCTGAGTGTTGGTTCTAGAAAGATAACTGAGACTTTACCCATGAAGTGCCTGATGGAAGGAGACCCATGGTGGGTGTTAGTTTCCTTTTTCTGCCCTCCTGGAGCTCACAATCTGGTGGGGAGACAGGCATTGAAGATGCGGCATGAGGCAGCACGGATGAGAACCAATGCAGGGGGCTGTGGGTACATTCCGAGCGTTGCCTTTGAACTGGGGGCCTGATGCCGGAGGCCAGCTGTGCCCAGAGGCTGGATCACCAGGCAGGAGGGTGGCGAGCCAAGTGTGACATTGGGAAAGAACACAGGGAATCTAGGGCAGGCGGGGTATCTTGTGGTCTAGAGAGGAGGATGTACGCTAGTGTTAGGCTCTTCGGGTTCCTTAGGTGTCCTTCAGTACCTGTGTTCTGGGACAGTAAGGAGGAATGCTGGGAAGAGACTGGCCTTCCTTCCATGGTGCCATCCTTGTGTGTGAATCATGAACCCTCCCTCACCAACTTGGTGGGATGGAGGGTTTCTTGGATGTTTTCACTAAGGAGCCAGCTCAGTGCTGTTCTGCCTTTTCTGCAGTATGAACTTCAAAGTGTCCTGAGGCAGGGGACCAAATGCCCGAGTTCTGCTCCTGTGGTTTTCCTCTTGGGGGAGCCTCTCACTACTTTTCCTCTTTTCCCTCTTAGCCTTGTATCATCAAGATTAAAGACTTTTTTGATGCCGAAGATTATTATATTGTTTTGGAATTGTAAGTAGTAAACTTTTCTATTTGTTTCTATTTAATTGCTTATAAACCACCAAAGAATCTAAGGCTGGCGTGCATTTTTCTCATCCTGGGAACCCTCATCATATGTATGTGTTGGTGGGGCTCGCAAAGTGTGCATGTGGGGTTAGTGTTGATTTTAAAATTCCTCCAGTGTTTCCAAAGGCACATGGATTAGAGGTTCCAGGCCCTGGGTCTGAGGCCTGAGTCTGAATCCCACTCTGCAGGTGACTCCCTGTGAGTTAGTTTACTTCATGTCTCTGAGTCTTATTTTCCTTGTGTTGTGGGGGTGGTAATAATGATACCCCCATGCGCAGAGTCATGAAGATTAAATACTATGAGGGATGGAAAGTGCCCAGCAGAGCCCCCGGCACACGTAGTTGCTCAAACACAGGTGGATATTAATTATTCTGAAACACGTGCCTGGGTGGATCTCTCTGCTCAGGATCGCAGTACTGGGTGGCGCCTGATTATCTTTTTGTTGCTGGTTTACTTGCTGGTCTATTTCAGTAACCACAAAGTCCTGTCTTCTGTGGTGTGGCCCAAACAATTTCCTGCCTCATCCCTGGCAGAGGCCTGTCTTGAAGCTCATTCCTACATAAATATGTAGTGTTTCTGGGAGCGGCTGTTGTCAGGCGGGGCTTTGCTCCTGAGTGGCCCACAGTGCCTAAGCAGGTTGGCCACCAAGATTTTATAGTAAACAGCCTCAGTCATAGTACTAGGAAAGATTGGACGACCCTTGGGATGCTTAAGGGTATATCTGTTGCTGTCTGGACCTACTTAAAACAGTTCAATAATAATACGATAACAGTCACTGAGACTAATGAAGTGCTTACTATGGGCCAGTTCCTGCTCTCAGCACTTCACATGGATTGACTCCTTCACCCTTCATGACAGTCATCCAGGTGACTTACAAGTTACTGATGGGTTACTGTGTTTAGCTCCACTTTACAGAAAAGGAAACTGAAGTTCAGAGGGATTGAATAACCCTGCCAAGCAACCACATTGTGCCAACTGCCTTACCTACATTAATTATCTCTTAATTTTTACAACAGCCATCAAGGTGAAGGGGGGGAATTATCCCAATTTTTTGAGGCAGAAACAAGCTCAAAGAGGTGATATAACTTGCCCAAAGTCCCACAGCTGGGATGTGAGGGAACTGGGGTTCAGACCCCGCTTGCCTGGTTGCGAGCTTCTGCTTGCTGCTCTCGCCCAGCCACAGAATCCCCTGGGGTGTGTGATAAAAATGCAAACTCGTGGGCTCCACCTCCGGTCCACTGAGTCAGATTCTTAAAAGCTCCCACGTGTGTCCGGTGCCCACTGCCCACTCCTTCCGTCTTTTCCCTGTTCCTTCGTTTCCAGCGAGGACCTCTTAACCGTGGAGAGGAGACTTGCTACTTCACTGCCCTTAGAAACGGGAGTCCTCTAGAGTGAATAAAAAAGGCAGCTCTTTGCTTGTCTGAAACAGTGTCTTGTTGGCGTTATTGTCTTCCGCCCAAGCCCCCTGCTTTGCCTGTGTCTTTCAGGATGGAAGGAGGAGAGCTCTTTGACAGGGTGGTGGGGAATAAGCGCCTGAAAGAAGCTACGTGCAAACTCTATTTTTACCAGATGCTCCTGGCTGTACAGGTAAAGGGTTCCCTCGGTTCCTTTGATGCCCTGCTTGTAGGTGAACTGCTCCCGAAGTCAGGCAGAAAGCGAGGGATGGTGCGTAGAACCCGGAGGGCACAGAGTCTGTCTGTGCTTGTGTTCTGTTCTTGGCAAAAACATCCCTCCACCCTTTGACTCAGCCGGGAAAGCTTTTGCTGGGAAGCTTAAGCGACAGAAGAGGGGGAGTTACAGAAATAAACAGGGCCCCACTTGTCTTCTCTTTAACTTGGAGGTCTGTCTGAGGGGTACTGATCTCTACTTGGGCTTGAACCTTGTAGAAACCTCCCCCTTACTGGCTGGGGGTTGCGGGGGGGTTGCGGCAGGTGGGAGAGTAAGGCTGGCAAGGCGGGCTGGTTGTGACAGACGGATCGCTCTCCCCGCCGCACAGTGACAGGTGGCCCCTTAGGTGCAGCATCCTGTGAACGGCGGCGGCGGGTGGGCAGGCACGTGCGCCGCCTTCTCTCTTCTGAGGAGCAGCTGGTCGGGTCGCACACTGCCTGCTTCCGAACATCACCTTTTCAAACCAAATTCAGCTGTAGCGAGTCCCCGCCAAGATTTCTTCCCTTGAAGACCTACTCCCCGCAGGAAACAGTGATTTGGAAGCAGCTCCCCTGTTGAGTGGGGGTTGAGGGAGATTTTCCTGGGGCTGATTCACCTGGGTTTGCCCTCCCTGGGGGCTTTGACAGGTCTTTCTCCTGTTAACAGTATTTTGGAGGAATTTTTTGCTCCCGGCCCAGAGGGGCATCCAGATGAGTTGAAGTCCATTAGCCCCTAACCAGTGCTTTACTCTCTTAATGATTTATTCTCTCCCGATGAGTTGAGTGCAGATCAGTGGATGTGGGAATTTTTTTCCCAAAGAAATGACTTGGTGTATAAAAATGATGAACACACAGACAAACATCAACATTGCATTTCAGACATAGAGATTGTGAAGATGAACTCAGTTTTTGTGTTGAGGAATACGTGAACTCTGGGTATTTAAACATAATTTACAATTAGGTACTTTACAGAGGCCTTTAAAAAATATTCTCAGGGAAAGAATAACCAAATACATTATTTTGATGGAACTTTTATGGTTTACTTTAATAAGGTCTCAAAATACTTTTATCACCCATTTACATTTTTTTTTAATTTTGTGAGAAAGAGAGAAAGAGGGAGAGAGAGAGAGCATGAGCATGAATGGAGGGGGGGCGGTCAGAGGGAGAAGCAGACTCCCCTCTGAGCAAGGAGCCTGATGCAGGACTTGATCCCAGGACCCTGGGATCATGACCTGAGCAGAAGACAGACACTTAACTGACTGAGCCACCCAGGCTCAGTTTTTACTATTGACATTTTTACTATTTTTACTATTTACATTTTTACTATTGAAATTGACACCTTATATTTCTGGTAATGTGAAGGGGTGTTTATTATTTTGAAGAGTGAAATAAATGGTCTATTGTTATAAGTGGCATTTTAATCTTTTTCTTTTCAAGATTTAAAAAAATTTTTTTTTTTTTTAAGATTTTATTTATTTGAGAGAGAGAATGAGATAGAGAATGAGATAGAGAGAGAGAGCACAAGGTGGGGAGCGGGAGAGGGAGAAGCAGACTCCCCGCTGAGCAGGGGAGCCGACGTGGGACTCGATCCCAGGACTCCAGGATCATGACCTGAGCCGAAGGCAGTCGCCCAACCAACTGAGCCACTCAGGTGCCCGATTTTTTAAAATCTTTAATCACACCAACGTGGGGCTCGAACTCACAACCCTGTGATCAAGAGTCGAATGCTTTACTGACTGAGCCAGCCAGGTGCCCCTAAAGATTTTCCTGAAAACAAATTTGTGGGGCACCTGGGTAGCTCAGTTGGTTAAGCGCCTGCCTTCAGCTCAGGTCATGGTCCCAGGGTTCTGGGATTGAGCCCTGCGTGGGAGTCTGCATGGGAGCAGGGAGTCTGCTCCTTCTCCCTCCTCCCCGCTCCCTGCTTGTGCTCTCTCTCACTTGCTCACTCTCTCAAATGAATAAATAAAATCTTAAAAGAAAAGAAAAATTTGTAAACATTAAGCCCTTTACCCAGTAGTTTTCTATGATTTGGGGGAATGTGGTTGTGCGTAACCTGGCTTGTGGTTTCACCCAGCTATAAGGGTGTGTGTGTGTGTGTGTGTGTGTGTGTGTGTGTGTGTGTCTTTACTCACTTACCTACTCCATAAATCCAAGGGTCATGCCTCCCTTTCTGTGTAGTACCTTCACGAAAATGGTATTATACATCGGGACTTAAAGCCAGAGAATGTTCTACTCTCATCTCAAAAAGAGGACTGTCTTATAAAGGTAAGAAATTTATGTTCTCTATGTGGCCACTCCAGTAGATTTCTGTTCATAAACTTATAAAATTCATCAAGTAAAAAGTGGGAGCATAAAAAGGTAGAGAATTTGACCTTTCCACTATTAGCAGTTATTTTAGTGATCAGGCAGTATTGCTCTGATTCAGATTCTAATGAGCATTTATTGAGCTTCACTGTATACAAGCCACTTCTGTTCAGAGAGGAAGGAGGGATCTAGATGGATGAGAGAATCCCATCCCCTTTCTTCCCATGCTTTCTAAGGCAATGTGCTTCCCAAGCCTGGCTTCACTATAGAATCTCCTGTTGATTTAAAAAAAAAAAATAAATAAATCATGACACCCAGACTGCATCTCAGAATTTGCTGAAGGTATGAGTATTTTTTCCAAGCTCCTCAAACATTCCAGTGTTGAGATTGGTTGAGAAACTAGGGTCTAAGAAAAACTCTGGATAACTAATTAGGACCGTAGAGTCTGGGTTTGATAAGGGTTATAAACCTTTTGTAAGGTTACAGAGAACCACAGATAAGTTGGAGAGGAAACCTTGAGCTTCCTTGGCCTGGAAATTTTAATTTAAGCAAAAGAAATTTAACTTGCAGTGTTAACGTTAGAGATTCCAGATTAACAGCAGGCATGAACCATATAGGATAGGAACTGATCTAGCCTGCATGCCTTTTAGGACTCGCAAGACTATGTTAATCTTTTTTTTTTTTTTTTTTAAGATTTTATTTATTTGACAGAGAGAGACACAGTGAGAGAGGGAACACAAGCAGGGGAGTGGGAGAGGGAGAAGCAGACTTCTGGCGGAGCAGGGAGCCCGATGCGGGGCTCGATCCCAGGACCCTGGCTGGGATCATGACCTGAGCTGAAGGCAGACACTTAACGACTGAGCCACCCAGGCGCCCCAACTATGTTAATCTTTTTATTTTATGATACCATTAAAAATGATTCCCTTTTGTCCTTAATTTTAGATTACTGACTTTGGGCAGTCTAAGATTTTGGGGGAGACCTCTCTCATGAGAACCTTATGTGGGACTCCCACCTACCTGGCTCCTGAGGTTCTTAATTCCTTTGGGACTGCTGGATATAACCGAGCTGTGGATTGCTGGAGTTTAGGAGTGATTCTTTTTATCTGGTAAGAAAAGTTTCATTGCTTCAGAGTCTGGTTGGAGATAATTAGGCGAAGTCAGAAACGTGTCCAGGTAGAGAGCTTGTGTTTACATTGAGTGACCTTTTTTGATCATTGATTTAAAGAATAATCTGTATGTCTGAATGCCGCTGAGAATATAATTTGATTTCTTTTCCTTTCTCTCTCTACCAACATTAAGCCTTAGTGGGTATCCACCTTTCTCTGAGCATAAGACTCAAGTGTCTTTGAAGGATCAGATCACCAGTGGAAAATTCAATTTCATTTCTGAAGTCTGGGCAGAGGTCTCAGAAAAGGGTATGGATATGAAAGGGTTAAGAGTCTGTGGTTTGCTAAAATGTGTGTATGCTGTTGTGGAAATTTATTTTCACATTCTGTTACGTTCCTCCTGTTCTTATTTTCTGTTGTTTGTTTTGCACCTTTTGAGGGGCAAAGGAAGTTAACATAGGTTCCAGAACCAGGCTGACCAAGGCTCATATTTTGGGTCTGCTACTCCTAGCTTTGTGACCTTAGGCAAATTACTTAACCTGTCTGAGTTACCCTTTCCTTTATATGTAAAGGGGGTACAGTAGACCCCTACCTTAAAGGTTTTTTGTGAGGGTAATTGTAATCTAAGCAAGTGTCTGGTACCTAGTAAGTGTACAAAATAATAAGTAACTTTTTAGTACAAAGTCTCCTTTGGGTAAGCATGTAAGAGCTAAAGTAATTTCTTTGTGTTTTAGAATTTAAAAGTATAACTTTGTACTTCTCAAAAGGAAAAGTAGAAAAGGAAAACTGTCAGGTCATATAACATAGATGATTCTGTTAAACCTTATGATGTCAAACCTTAGAATGTCGAAGGAATAATATTGTTGCAATATAAAAGCCAGCCTCCACTTGTTGCTTGCTGTCAAGCTTTCTTTCTGCCAAACCTGCAGTTCCAAGGAGCCTGTTGCTGGCTGAGAAACTCTCACTGTCAATGCATGGGTCTCGAGAGCCTTGGCCGAGCATCCTGAGCTTCCTAGAACTAGGTAGAAGTTCAGATTTAATTAGTTTGAACTTGAGTCCAGCAACGAGGTGGGGAACAGGGAGCGTTGAAGAGGTGGTGATGTGTGAGCAAAGGGAGATGGGGGGCATTGTGGTCATTCCTAGTGTTCTCCGAGAGCTCTGAAGACAGACAGTGAGAGGGACTGCGGGGGAGGGGGTCCCTGCCCCCCACACCTGCTGACTTGCAATGACTTTAGCCTCTCTCTCTTTCTGGATGTTGGCCTGTCATTCTGGCATACTTTAATTTTGCTGACTTAATGTATCTACCCTTTCCACTATGATTTGATATTTGATTATCATTGTTTTAGCTCTGGACCTTGTTAAGAAGTTGTTGATAGTGGATCCAAAGGTGCGTTTTACGACAGAGGAAGCCTTAAGACACCCGTGGCTTCAGGTGGGTATGGGACAGTGCTTGCTGGCATAAACTATATAGGCAGCTCTTAGCTGTGCCTGAGGGATAAAGGAAGAAGTTGGAAACGTGGTCGCTTTGTTGAGACTGTTTAATGCACCTGCTTTAGAATGAGCTTAGGTGTGTCGGGTATGTTTCTGTGTGTATATGGTTCATGAGTGTAGGTGTGTCTTTGGGTACAACCTTTTCAACTTGTGGCTCCTGGGATCCCAGGACAGCTCACTTTATGGCCTGTCCTAGTCCCACTTGGGTTCCCTGAGTCTGCAGTTCGGCAGTGGTACTTTGAGAAGTGGTTCTAGCTCGGAACCTCCACCGCCACCCCCACCTGTGCTAGCCTCTTCCCTCAAACAGGTGGGATGGGCTGCATCCCAGCTGTCTTCAGCCTGAAGTCAGGGGAGCCGGGGAAGGAGGAGGAGGAGGGCAGCTTCTCTGGGGGAGGATCTGGTTATTTCTTAAGCCTATGTGATTGGGCATATAGGGTCCCACTTATTCTTGGTGAGTAAACATGCCATTAGTGCACCTTTCAAGTCTGTATTACCTATGTGTCCCTGCCAGAGCATTGTGGCTGTTGTTGGATTATACCCTGACCTCATTCTAGCTGCCAGACTTGCAAGTCCTTTGTGGCTTTGCTGGACTGATCTTTGGTTTTAGAACTAGCTACAGCGTGGGGCAGGTTTTCTGATGGATGTCAGGCCTTCTGTTAAGTGCAGTTCCACTCAGCACAGCCATATCCCTTTTTGTTAATTTCCATTTGGTCTGTTTCCTGTGGGGATGGGGAACTTAACCAGCTAGCTTGAGCTAGAGGCTCAAGTACTCTGGGGATTACTAGCCCAGAAACTCATCCAGGCCGTCCAGTCTCAGTATTGTGCTCCTGGGACTCTGGGAAGACTGTCCCTATTCTTTCTCTCTTCCAGCCCTCCATACCTAACAGTTATGCTCAGGCCAGCTCAGGTTGAGAACAACAAATCCTTAAAAGAAAAAAAAAAAGTAGATATATTTGTTTGGGTTATTGCCCTGGAAACAGCAGTCTCCCCCCAGAAGAAATCTGTCAGATGATTTAGCACTTAATAGACCACACAGATTTGAAACAGCAGGACCCTGGAGAAAAGGAATTTGGAAACAAGGGTGCCTTTGCATGTGGGGATTTAATTTTGATGAAAAAGAAAAACATGCCTCTTGGCTCTTTTTATGTGCCCTAATAGGGAAACTCTTGGGGCCAGATGTGGACGTAGAGGAGCTGTGCTAGTCTTGGGGAAAAAAAAAAATGGAGCTTGCCAATTAGGCCAGGGAACAGGGTTTGTAGCCGCCTGCAATTCACGAACGTGCGTAACCTATTTTTCTTGTTCTGTTTGTCTCAGAAGAAAACTGTTACTAACAACTGAGGAAAAGGTGAGGTTCAGTCGTGCCACAGTGGTCTCACTGGAATACTCTTGTCCACATTTTGTTTTTGCTGCAAAAGGTGGAATGAGCACAGTGAGGACAAGAATGCAGACACTGCCTGTGTTAATCATCTGCTAGTGATAGCTTAGGTTTTATTTTGGGGAATTTCACTGTTTTTGAAGAAGCCAAATGGCTTTGTGGGTCTAGCCCTCGACTGAGTGTTTGGAATGTGAGTTCCAGTCTCTTTTGCTCTTAACAGTGTTCAGTTTGGGGAACATCCTTTTTTTGGGGGCGGGAGGAACATCCTTTATATCATCCTCTGACACCCCTATAACATCCACTCTTTGGCCTCATATTCACTTTCTGAAATCGAGAACTCTTTCCTGCTTGCCTTTGAGGCATTTTACAATTTAAATTTTTGAGTAGACTGTAGACATCTCCGAGAAAGGTGTTTGCAGATACACATTGCTGTGGTATATAATGAGCTCCTTTTTCAATATTACTGCTAATTGATGCCTTGTTTTATTTTTTTAATTTATCATTTTTTAAAATATTTTATTATTTGAGAGAGAGAGCATGAGTGGGGTAGGAGCAGCCAGAGAGGGACAAGCAGACTCTGTGATGATCGTGGAGCCTGATGCGGGGCTCGATCTCATGACCCTGAGATCATGACCTGAGCCAAAATCAAGAGTCAGACGCTTTACCAACTGAACCACCCAGGCTTCCCGATGACTTGTTTTAAATATAGGCCTAAATAGGCTTGTGGGCAGTTCTGTCTGGCTGTCTTAAAGAGCTGCCATATGGCATGTTGCTGTGTGCTTTCATTTCTTTGTGCGTTCATTCTTTCAGAGGACAGTTAATGAGCTCATGTGTCAACACTTAGGTACTGGGGATGTGAAGAAGAGTAAGATAAGTCCTTGCCTTGGGGAGCTGACAGTCTGGGTGGGTACAACCCCGACCACAGTCACAGCAGGGAAGTGGGATACACGCAGCAGTAGGGGTAGGTGTAGAGTATAGGGGGGATCCTCAGAATGAGATAGGGTCACGGTTCTTGGGTTTCAGGTATTCACAGGTTCACACAATATGAAGAGCTTCTAAAGGCTGAGTGGCCTGGGGATGACGTGGGTGTATTAGTTTGCTCGAGCTGCTATAACAAAATACCCCAGACGGGTTGGCTTAAACAATAGAAATTTATTTTCTCACAGTCTGGGAGGCTAGAAGACCCGATTTCAAGGTGTTGGCGCATTTGGTTTCTCCTGAGGCGTCTCTCCTTGCCTTCTCTCTGTCCTCACATGGTCTTTTCTCTGTACTCACATCCCTGGTGTCTCTTTCTCTTCTTCTGAGGACATCAGTCATATTGGATTGGAACCTCACCTTAATAGTCTCATTTTTACTTAATTGCCTCTTTAAAAGCCCTGTCTCCAAATAGTCATTGGGGATTACTATTTCAACATTTGAATTTCGGGGGCGGAGGTGGACACAGTTTAGTCACAATGGGGGACCGCATTTTTATTGTTGATTGAGTCCCTCTATATGGAGGCCCCTTTGCCTTTTACAGTGCCTGGCATCTAAGGCCGATCAGGAAGTAGTTGTTCACTGAGTGAATGAGAAAGGTGGGTGAGATGGATGGGCAGGATAGCAAGGAGGGCATTCCCGGTGGAGGTTGTGAGCAGGAATAGGAGGAAAGAGGGGAAGGAATTTTGAGAGTGGCATAGTGTAGGAAGTGAGATCCTAAGGGAGATTGTGGAGCAGAATCCAGATGAACGTGGTGCTCTCAGAATGGGCAGTGGGGCGCTACACCGAGTGATGCAATAAACTGTGTTGGAAGCAGGTGATTCAGCCACTAGATATAGAACAGGTGAGTTAATTCTCAAGCAGTGCAATTTTTCTGTACATACCAAACTGCTGAATATTGGAGGCCTTCACTCCTATGCCCTCTGTCCCCACCTACTGTGGTGCTCTTGGCTTAGTGGGAGGAATGGGAGGAGGTTGGGTGGGAAGGTACATGGGGCTTTAGAATCAGGCAGCTGTGGGTCTGTCTTGTGCACACGCTACTTTTGAGTGGCTGAGCTGGGCTTCCAGCTGGCCCCATCCTAGTCATGGGATGTTTCATCTTTCTGAAGGGGGGGAGAGCTGCACCAGGTTACTTTTCAGGATTCCTAGATGCAAATCCTTGAACCCTGCAGAAGTAACATTCATAGAGGTGGGAATTATCCTCATAGACATCTGGGCAGGAGTTCTCTATGCACATATGCACCTCCCCCACCTTCTCTCTCTAGCAGCACAAAACACCTGTAATGCTGTGGTCTGTTCATCTGTCTTCCTTTCTCATTAGCTCTGGGATATTGTGGGCTTCAAGTCCTTCTGGTGACTTGTGTAGTACTTGCTGGGAGAATTTTCTGGGGTGCTGGGTTGCTTTGTTAGGGTGGCCCTAGTAAATGGTCTTAGTGTTGGCATGGGGAGGGGACACCTCCTGGAAAGATCTGGGGAGCTTCATGGAGTCCGCTCTCAGGGGACTGAGCCAGTCCCAGCCTCTGGCTTCCTGATTACCCTTTCTCAGGATCTGGGATGCTGGTTCTGAAAGTCTGTTGACTGCTAACGTCTGTGGTTCTCTCTGACCCACTGAGGGCATGTGGGTTTGATTTAGCCAGTGTCAACTGAGCATTGACTGCTGATTAGAGTGCTCCGGGAAGGCAGAGCTGAGAAGCGCATGGCCCATTACCTCCTGGAGCCTCAGCAAGACCCTGCCTTTTGGTGGACAGACTGGGTGTCCTTACCCACTTTTTTCTTTCCAGGGGCAACCCGGCCCTGTCTTTTTAGGAGCGTTCTTTCCTTCAGACACAGTCTACTTAGGTTTTCTTTCTTTCTTTTTTTTTTTCATTTTTTCACAGGATGAGGACATGAAGAGAAAATTTCAGAATTTACTTTTTGAAGAAAATAAGCCAACGGCTCTACCCCAAGTCCCGGCCCAGGTATTCCAGATGATGGTCGTTAAATGTAGGCTAGGTTTTAAAGAGCTCATGAGCAAGGAGAATGAGCTTGAAAGGTCTCTTTAGTAGCAATTGCTTAATATTTTTTTGGAATAATGTGGTAGATATTTTGTTTCAGCTCGATCTGCTCTAGCACCCTTAGAAGATTTAATAAGAAGAGTATGTTTGATGCATTAAAGAAGCATAGTCAGGGATTGTCATTCAAGAGGTCTCCTGCAAGGCAAAATTGGAAGACTGTATTAGAAGTTCAAATTTAAACTTGTTGGAAATTTATAATCTGGACAAGTGGTTGATTATTTATTGATTATAATGTTATTCTTCCAAGGTTCTTTGTTAGGATTAGTTAATATCTCTTCATTCCTATCCTGCCTTCTTTTGATGAATAATACCCTCCTCCCCACTGTCCCCTCGAAATTTTATGAATGGGAAACAAAGACAAAAAAGATGGTCTTCCCACAAAAGAGCAAGATTTGGGGCTCCCAGCAAGAGGTATTGTAGTTCCTTTAAACTTCATAATTTAGGAGGAGAGTACAGAGAGGAGGGAGGGTGTTTATGCTGCTTGCTTTCAGTATCCATCAAGTGGTCAGAAGCCACAAGGGAGAGCAATGTCCGTTCAATAAGCATGTCTGAGTTCTGGGCAGGTGTGGTGGGGGTTCAGATGTCAAGGGGGACGACTCCTAATTCTTGGTACTAGAAGTTTCACATGAAATGCTCCAAATGTACTGGAAGCGTAGTGGGACACTTTGATAATCTTAAAGCCAGTGGTTTTCTTTGAACATTTCTCCCTTTTTACTTCCAGCCTTCCACAAGTCAAAAGCGGCTTCTTGAAGGGGAAGCAGAGGATGCTGACACCACAAAGCGTCTGGCTGTGTGTGCTGCTGTGTCGTGAACTTTGGTTGAACATGAAAGAAACCTGCCTTCTTGAACCTGCTGCCATTTTCTTTAAATCTGTTTTTTATAGTTTATTTTAATTGTGGGGATGGTTGCTTTTTCACAATCATCAATACACAATTCCAAACCTAGTGGAACCTGGGGCTTTGGCTTCTGTTTGATGATGAGCTCTTTAGCGGCACACCTTTTTTGTGTATTTGCAGTTTTGTGCTTTTTGTCTGCTGTTCTATGTTGGCTGGAACCAGGTGGGTATCCCTGGTCTCAGCCTGGGCAAGCTGCATACAAATTCGAAAGACCCTTTAGAAAGTTGGAGATTGGGGTGGTTTGTAGAGACTGGCTAGTCACCAAAGTCTTCATGAGATGGGAGGTACCTTGGTACCATATACCACAGGCCAGTTTTAAATTCTCACCTCACCTGTGTAAAGGTACAGGTCCATCGTCGCTGAAACCATAGGACCAAAACGGTTGTCAAATTTGAAATTTTCCTGGTTTTAGGAAGGATACGTGGCACATCAACTCTATTATTTGTAACACCCAGTAGAGTCCTAAAACTAAGCACTTAAATACTTTTGCAGCAAATATTCACAATAAAAGGGTTAGAGAAGACTATAAGTGCCTCATGTCAGTGCAGGTCACTTTTCTGTCAAAGGAGTTATGGATGACTCTCAGGTTTCAAAGCTGTTTGGATTTTGGAAATGCAAATGAGGCATGTGGGCATTTCATGTTGAGCCAATGACAACCAAGGAAGCCCTGTATAAAGCCCTTCCCTTGGCTGATCTTGTCCAGTCCTCACAGTGATGCTATGGTATATAAGTCCTCTGACTGCCCTAATGTTGTAGGTGAGGAACCCAGGATGAAGGAGTAAGTTGACTTGTCCAGTGTCACACAGCAAGTGGCAGAGATGGGACCCAACCCAGGTCTTCCTGACTCTAATATTCCTCATCTTCTCAGGCTCAAATACAGTCAGACTCAGGAATGCTGACTCACGCTGACAAAACTCACAAGAGACTGATATCTAAATCCTGAATGCCAGTGTGTTAAATTATTGTGAGAGGGTACAGCCCCATGATCTGTGTAAGTTGGGACACCTTGGTGGCAAGAACAGAAGCTCATTTAGGTTACTTCATGATAAAGGGGATTTGTTTCAAGGTTAGATGTCTGGCCTGGGATCCATCAGGAACCCAGGCAGCTGTAATGCTTGGTTCCTCTTGTCTCTTTCTGACCCACTGATTTTGCTTCTATCTTTGGCTGGTTGAGAGTAGGCCACATTATAGCTCACTGGTCATGCCATGAGTTGAATGCCTTGGTTCTGATGCCACTGATGAGCCAGCCAGGGCCTCGGGGTACACAGCTGTTGCCGTGGGCAGTTGGGTGGTGGCTGGCAATTTCCTTTAGAAGGGTGTGCAAGCATTCTGAGGCTTGGCTGGCCTGGTGTGTGTGTGTGTGAGCAGGGGCTTGGTGGGGGCTAGATGGGGATTTAAGTGGTTTGCATATTTAAAAGAATGAGGTGGAGATTGCCAAGTTAGATGGGTTTTTAGCTCATTTGAATATTTAATGTGAAGGCTGTGGTTTCTTAGGGCATTTTTCCCCTCTTGGGGCAGAGCCAACCAGCCCTTCTCCGTTTCCAGAGCACTTTATATTCGCTCCCTCTGATTATACCGACCATAGTAGATAGAATAATGGCTCCCAAAGATGACCTCATCCTCATCCCCAGAAAATGGATATGTTCCTTTACGTGGCAAAAGAGACTTTGCAGATATGATTAAGGATCCTGAGATGGGTAGATTATCCTGTCTCTTCTGTGTGGCATTCTGGGACGGGTGTGTCATCACAATGTTTGAGAGGGACACACACAGGAGTCAGAGTTAGAATGGAGTGAGCTGCTTTGAAGAGGGAAGAAGGGGCCACAAGCCAAGGGATACAGGCGGCCATGAGAAGCTGAAAAAAGGCAAGGAAATGGATTCTCCCCCTCAGAGTCTCTCCTGAAGGGACCAGTCCTTTACACCTTGACTTTCTTTCTTTCTTTTTTTTTTTTTTTAAAGATTTTATTTATTTATTTGAGAGAGAGAATGAGAAAGAGAGAGCACGAGAGGGGGAAAGGTCAGAGGGAGAAACAGACTCCCTGCTGAGCAGGGAGCCCGATGCGGGACTCGATCCCGGGACTCCGGGATCATGACCTGAGCCGAAGGCAGTCACTTAACCAACTGAGCCACCCAGGCACCCTACACCTTGACTTTCACTAGTGGAAATGATTTCAGACTTCTGAACTACAGAACTATAAGAACAAATCTGTGTTAAGCCACCCAATTTGTGGTAATAGAGGCCATAGGAAACTAAGATGTCAGCTGCTTATTTGGGGCCACCCAGCATCCACTTCTTCCTGACCTCACTCCAGTTTTCTTTTGAGGCAATTCTTTTCCTTTATCCCATGAAGTTATGGAGGAAAGGGGGAGTTGGTAACACTAAATGTCTGCCTGCCCCCCGACTATGAAGCTGAAGGGGGGTACAAGGTCTTCCTTCCCTGGTGGAGCTCCTCCCACTAGCCTCCTACCTGGAGGTGGGCCCAGGACTTCGAAAAAATGAGCAAATGGAGCTGGGATGGCAACATTAGTGGTAAAAACAATACTGTGCCAATCTGAGCTCTCTGCACTTCCTGACTTTGGCTTTGAAATTGCTGAACTTTTATGTCCTTATCTATAAAGTGGGTGCAGTAAGAGTAGCAGCCTCATATGGTGTTTGTGAGGATTGAATGGGGGAATGTCATTTAAAGTGCCTGGTGTGTGATAAGGGATCTATCAATGTTGCCTTCCATCCTTAAAGTGTGGGAGGATCACATATAAGTAGCCAGAGGGTGCCATGGAAAAATCTTGAGCAGGGACATAATATAATCCGTTCAGTTTCTGGGGTGGCGGGGGCACACACAAGTTGGGCAGATAATTGAGATGCCTTTGACCTAACATGTGGGAAATGTCAGGACTAGGTGGATGGTGGGAGCAGAGGTGGAGGGGCATTTCCCAGTGCCTGAAGTAACTGCCACTCCTGTAGAACAGGCATGTTGTTCCATGGTTGACCTGCTGCATGCCTAGATAGGTGCAGTGGACATCTTTTATTTGGCCTATCCTCATCTGATGCCTCTTGTGATAACTGCATCACTTTTTCTGGGGGAGGTATCCCTCCTCCCACTCATCCTGGCCCCACCCCCTTTCTAGAGGGGCTCTGTATAGCCGGGTTTGGCCAGTCTTGCTGTGATTGGCTCAAGTAGGGACTTCTGACCTAAATAATTGCAATGAAAGTCAGCCCTGAGACTGGCTGGAATTATTGGCAAACAGCTCCTGTTTTCCTGGTCAGATATGAGCTAGGTGCTGCCTGGGACACTGGAGAGCTTGCATGAGAAGTCATCGAAGAGAGAAGGGAGCTGAAAGAGATTCAAGATTTGGGTCATTGAGCACCTGGATCCAGCTATGCCTGAAGTGAGCTACCACCCTGAGACTTTTAGTTTGTTTCTTTTTTTACTCCAGGTTGAATTATTATTATTACTGTCACTAGTATCTGGAAAAGGTCAAATTAATAAATTCAACCATTTACAAACTCCGAGAGACCCTTGGAGATTTTTTTTTTCTTGTAGGGAAAAACATTCGCTGTTGTTTTTCTGCCAACTTTAGGGTTTTCAGAGAGGTTTGGGGCAGAGAATGGAAAGGGAAGATGTGGGAAGTAACAGTCCCTACAGCCCCAAGGTTGAGTGAACCCCTCCCAGCTAATTATACCACAGAGTTTGGGAGCAGAGCCCCTTTCATTAAGCTTTTAGGAGTCTTGGAAGGAAAGGGCCAGAATTATACCAGTGAAGCCTGGAAAGTGTGGTGCTGCCAGGCGTGCTCAAGGAGGGACGTGCATCATCTGAGAGTTCACCTCAACCCTGTGAGGTATTATTGCCACTTTCTCATTTGCTGATTTAGAAATCAAGGCTTTCTGCTTCAGTCAAGTGACCTATTAAAGGTTTCCCAGTTTGCAAGAGGTGGAGGCCAGACTTGAACTGAGATTTCCCTTCCCTAGAGCCTTTGGTTTTAACCAGTACACAAAACTACTTAGGTCTTGTCACCTGATAACCATTCAGTACTAGGAGCTGTGCTGACACCATCCTGATTGTTTGAGTCCTCCCAACACACCTTAGTAATCGGCCTTCCTGATTAAGGAGAAACAGGCCCCTAGAGACCTGACCTTAATCACGCAAAGGTTAGAGGAGATGTGGGACTCGACCTCAGGTTCTCCACTGAGTCTGGCTGTCCCAGGGACATGGGCATTCACTGTGCCACTTACTCTCGCGCACGTGCTTGCATACTTCCATGACGGGGATCTCATCACCTTAGTAGCGTTCTTCCCCGGCACTTCTTGGGGGTAATTCCCTCCCGGCTCAGACTCTCGCTGCAAGGCCGGCGTGACCTGTGAAGTATATGGGGCAATGCGGAGCAGTTACCCAGGGGCCTGCCCGGGTGTCGTCTGCAGTGCGGCAGGCGGCAGGCGGCGGCGCCAAGTCCAGAACGGCGAGCGCTCCAGCCAGGCCGGACGGGTGCGGAGGGGGTGGGCGCGACGCCGGGAACAGCGGCCGGCTCCGGAGGGCGCGAGGCGGGGCGCACGGGGAAGGGGC